TCTAACATTTACTAGGTGGGCCCTAAAGAAGAGATTGTGTTTTTTTTATTTTATGTCTAATTTGACAGATTTGTATGGAAATGCATTAAATATGAAATGAAGGCGTAATGTTATTAAATTTTTACTGCTATATATAGATTCTAAAGAAAATTTTACTTGAAAAAAAGCCACTCGGTCCAGGCATCAGACAGGTTTCTGACTCTCGCCTGGATCGATCTAACACGGATCGTTTCATACATGAAATCTTTATTAGTATTGAAAAAAAATATTTGTATTTTAGATGACCTGGATACACTTCAGCGGGATGCAAAAAATATAGGTAATCCAAAGTGAAACCGTTTGTAAGTCTGGTATCTAGCAAGAAAATCTATTAATAGGATACGATCGACCGATACGTGTCTTATAGATGTAAAACTGTATACTATACGTACGTCAGGAACGCAATGCTGACACAGTTGTGTTTAACCAACGAATCGCATTAAAACGAGAACTTGAATTTCAATCGTGTAAGTACTTACTTACGGCACAAGTTTTAAAAACAACGATGATTGAAGAAATGTCGCATCCTCCTGAAGTGTATCCAGGGCACCTAATTTTTTTTTTCAAATCTAATAAAGTTTTCATTTATGAAACGATCCATGTTAAAACGAAGTCAAGAGTCTGAAACCTGTCTGATGCCTGGACAGAGTGGATTTTTTTCAAGTAAAATATTTTTTAGAATCTAAATCTAGCAGTAAAAATTAATTACGCCTTTATCTCATATTTAATATTTTTTCATACAAATCTGTCAAATTAGACATAAATTATATTCAGTTCTAGTTTCATGAACATCTTTTGTCATTTTAAGACTTGAAAATATAAAACATATTAGGAACAATATATTAATAAATATGCAATCTCGCTATACGCCCTTAACGTAACGCGGGGTCAATCACCTCTATTAGAATATTTTGTCAAACATCCAGGATACGCAAGAATAATCCGGAGTATTTTGGTTGGTTTCACTGCTTATCAAAAAAGTATTTCACCGTTGACCTCGTTATATACAGGGTGGCCGGGGAGTTGACGTTCAAGCGTAAAATTTAGATACTTTATGATGAGGAGTATCCAAATCACCTCCATGTATGTTCTACGATTTTGCGTAGTTTTCGAGTTATAATTTTTTAATGATTTTTTTCGTAATTACCACCTAACATCCGTTTTCGATTTTTTTCTCATTCGGTTGGACGTTTCAGGTTCAGTTTTTTTATAATAACTGACTAACATAGTCTAACCTATCACCCGAAAACTAATGGTTTACCTAGGCATTGCAGTATTCACTTAGAATTTGTTCGAAAGTTCAAAATTACGATTTGAGCTCAATACACACAAATTTTCTAAGTATCAAAAAAAAATGTAAATGGGGGGATTTTGAGTTCAATGTGCTTTTAGAAACTTTCTGAGACATTAAACTTTCAAACAAGGCCAAATAAAGAAACGGTTAATGGGGGTTTATTTTCTGTAACTGACCTTCAAAGTAAATTAAGACATTTTCAAAGGAATTATTTTATTTTACTTAAATCTTTGACTTTCTATGAGTTATGATGGATATGAGTAAAACGCAGTTAATTGTGAACAAAATAAATTAATTTAAAGCAAATTTTCAAAATTTTGCCCTCCCACAGAAATACACAATCTACATCTGCGCAAAAAATTATGTTTTAGGTGCCTAAAAGCTTCACGGTTATTTTGACAGTGGTTTCAGCTTCGCGAATTTTTGCTCTCAGTTCTTCTTCACTCGAAGCTTCTCAACGAACGCAATTTCTTTAAAGTAGCCCCAGATAAAAAAATCAATAGGGTTAAGGTCAGGCGAGCGTGGGGCCAGGCAATTGGCCCTTGTCGCCCGATCCACCTGTTGAGGTAGGTCATCAGACCTTAGACCACTAAATGGCGACGCACTTGTGTCGCGTAATGACATGGCGCCCCGTCGTTCTAGAATACCATCGTTCTTCTTAATTCAAGATTTACATCTTCCAGTAATATGGGTAGATTGTCTTCTAAAAAACTTTTGGATGTGTCGCCGTCTAATCTCGATGGCAGTTCAAATGCGCCTATTAATTCGCCATTCAAAACACCAGACCACATGTCAACGCTAAGACGATGTTATAATGATGATGGTCTGGCGGCATGTGGACTTTCGACGGCCCAAATGTGAAAATTGTGGATATTGAAAATCCCAGTTCGCTCAAATCTTGACTCGTCGGTCCACAAGATTTTATTAAAGTATCCGGGATCTTCTTCCTCTTTCTGCAACATAGTTCTACAGAACTCGACTCTCAATAATTGATAATCTGAAGGCTGCAACGCTTGTACTTTTTGTATGTGGTAGGCGTGAAGTGATTCCTCACGCAAAATATCCTGTATTGAAGATTTTGGTAAGTCAAGGTTACGAGCTAATGCTCTCGTACTTGTACTACTATTGCGTTGCACTTCTTCCAGTACGATTTTCCTGCGTTCCTGATCAACCCTCCGAACGCCTTCACCGCCACGTTGGCCAGGAATGCGGCCTGCCGTTAACGTATTGTGAGTATTCATGTACACATGATAGTCAGGGTAATGATCAGGTTGCGCTCCGCCTCGGCGTTGAAGTTGATCCCCGTAGAAATAATGCATTTCTGCATATTCACTCAGTGTGTAGGGCATCACTAACACTTCTAAGTAACTACAGTCCAAATCGTTAGGCACTACGGAATCCAGTAACAAGCAGGGGTCAAACAAGTAAGCAGCGGCGGTAACAGTAGGCAAATAGTGGTCGAGAAAAAACGGCAGAATAAGACGAATAAGTACTTACTTATTCGTCTTATTATAGTAGTAGAATTTAGGTCATTAACAACTGTGTTTTACTCAAATCCATTATAACTGAGAGATAGGCAAAGATTTAAATAAAAGAAAATAATTCCTTGAAAAATGCCTTAATTTACTTTGAAGGTCAGTTACAGAAAAAAATCCCCCTATCTTTATTTGACCTTGTTTGAAAGTTTAATGTCTCAGGAAGTTTCTAAAAGCACATTGAACTCAAAATCCCCCCATTTACATTTTTTTTGATACTTTGAAAATTTGTGTGTACTGAGCTCAAATCGTAATTTTGAACTTTCGAACAAATTCTAAGTGAATTCTGCAATGCCTAGGTAAACCATTAGTTTTCGGGTGATAAGTTAGACTATGTTAGTCAGTTATTACAAAAAAAACTGAACCAGAAACGCCCAACCGAATGAGAAAAAAATCGAAAACGGATGTTAGGTGGTAATTACGAAAAAAAACATCAAAAAAAATTATAACTCGAAAACTACGCAAAATCGTAGAACATACATGGGGGTGATTTGGATACTCCTTATCATAAAGTATCTAAATTTTATGCTTGAACGTCAACTCCCCGGCCACCCTGTATACTTTTTCATGACATTGTTAATCAATAGGCTAGTTGACCCTTTTTGGAAAAGGATTTTAAATGGTTAATAAATGTTCCATTACATCGAAAAAAAATGTATTGTATTTTTTGAGATCTAGAAAGCTACAAATCTTTAATTTTAAGTCCAGTCATTACGTCGGAAAAATCGGGAAATAAATGAAAATGAACCGAGAAAGCCAAATTTTGGATACTACGTGGGGGACGGCAAGAAAAGCTTAAGTTCAAATTGTCGACCAGAATAACCTTGTGCAATTTCCGCCATCTTGAAAAAACCCTTAAATTCAGTTTTTTCATCATAACTCGGTTCCCCGTTGAGATACGAAAATTTTTATAGAACACTTTTTTGTTGCTCTTCTCGCGATCTACAATTAAGGTCCCATGCATTTTTCACGTATCGATCGTCGTTTTCGAGATATCGATCAAAAATATCAAAAATTTGGGGAGAATCTTTTTTTTTCGCTATTTACTTTTTTCTGGTGAAAGATATCGAAAAATATTTGAAATAAAACTTGTAGAGCGTGTCCAGACCTACAAATTCGTTTTTTTATTTTTCATTTCTGACAAAAATTACGACCTCCAGCGCGCCACATAGTCGGCCCCAGCGCGCCCGACGCGTCTCCATGGCGCGTCATGGCGTCTCGCCATGGAGCACGTGACCACGGTAATATTATCTATACAGTATTGTGACTCCGCCCTGTCCTTGAAAATAAATAGTACAGTCAATCTGTAGGTTGAGTGGTGAAAAAAAAACCTAAAGGGTAAGTCTTGTTTTTTCTGTTGCCAAATGACGTCAGTAAGCCACCTTGGCGATGGGCATGTTCAACTCGTAGGCGTTTTTTGAAAAACTCAAAAAAACCGTCAAAAATTTTTTGAAACGCATTTTTCTTGTTTTGTATGCATTTTAGAAACTTTTTTTTCGACCATAATTGTAGAGGGCGTTGAGTGCTACAATTTATGTCATTGTTGCAATCTCGTACAACAAAAAATGCTCATTGTAGGTGGCGTAAATAGTAAAACGTACATTGAAATGTGCACTGCAAATGTGTACGTGAACTGCCCAAAACCGCTCTATTGGATTTTTCATACCTACGCAATTTATAACTTGAAAACAGTAAGTAATACAAAAAAATTGTTTATACAAAAGTTGTTGGTAATTATGTACGAAACAACTTTGCCATTTAAAGTTTTCCATTAAAATGATATTTTCAGGGTGAAAAAGTGAAAAAACACTTTTTTGAGACTTTAGCGCCACCTACAATGAGCATTTTTTGTTGTACTAGATTGCAACAATGACATAAATTGTAGCACTCAACGCCCTCTACAATTATGGTCGAAAAAAAAGTTTCTAAAATGCATACAAAACAAGAAAAATACGTTTCAAAAAATTTTTGACGGTTTTTTTTGAGTTTTTCAAAAAACGCCTACGAGTTGAACATGCCCATCGCAAAGGTGGCTTACTGACGTCATTTGGCAACAGAAAAAACAAGACTTACCCTTTAGGTTTTTTTTCACTCAAACGATATTTCTTTCGACAGATTGATTGTACTAAAATGCCTACACCGAGCGCTGTGTTGGCACGCGGTAGGGCCGCCAGCCTACAGTATTTTATGTAGTTTTGTTTTGTCTCTTTTTTCATCCTAACCACTTATTTATATATTATTCCAGATATTTTGCCCGATGGAAAGACCGAAATACCTAAATATTAGAAACAAATAACGTACTGGTAGATAGGTATATAAAAAATATTCTATAAAGGTAAGACACCTTTCCAATATTTCAGGTAGGTAATTTAAAAAATGATATCTCTGGGTGTGTTATTGAAGAGTTCAAGCAACCAAAAACAGCAATTGTGCTGTTGTACGATATTGATCGTCGTTTGTTCTTTTCCATACTAAATTATGTAGGTATCTACTTAATTAAATCAAATATTTACAATACAAAACGCATGTTTAAGCACGGCTAACTGCATAAAAAACAATTCAGACCGTTCGGTCGTCGTTGCGGCGCGGCGGCGCATTCGCGACTGGGTGCACGCCGAGAGCACATCGAACTCGAGTGGCGTGTAGGTATGACTCGCTTTCCGACCGTTTGTATGAAGATAGAATACTGTATGATATTATTACCGTGACGTGACTATGCGACCGTTAGAGTTTGGGCGTGGGTCAGGTATAAAAGACCCTTTTTTCGTGTTCGTGCCGGAACATCTGCTCCTTATTCGTAGCATTCCAGTCAGTTGTCTCGAGTCTTTTGAAGCGAGCATACGTGTTTGAAAAATTGTGTGAAAATGGGTGATTGTTTCATTTGCAAAAAACCTCTGTTTGACGATGTTTAAGTGGCTAAAAAGAGAGCTGTTCAGACTCTTAGCGGCGAGTGTGAAAAGAGGACATGTGGAGCATCAACAAATGTTAGAAAATATTGACTCAGTGAGTGTTCATAGTTCCTGCTACAAAAAATATGGAAACCAACGGCTAGCGTCGATTGCTTCTCGACGAAGTGAGTCTCCATCGCAAGAACCAGAACCCGAAGAAGAACTGCAGGTCATTCCCACTTTTGATTTTAAAAATCGATGTTTATTTTGTGGAGAAATATTTTGCAACGAATCGAAATTACCAACGCATAGACGGAAAAAAATTCATTCCGTGGTAGAAATATCAATGAATGAAAAAATTATGGGATACCTGTCTGGACGTGACGATGAATTTGCCACTTCAATCATCGAGCGTATCCGAGATATACCTGATCTCGTCGCAGTTGGAGCTCGATACCATCGAACATGTATTTCTCATGTATATCATGCACTACCTCATGGAGAATAAGAAAGGACGACCTACGGGGGACAAAGTAGACGAGGCAATGGAAGGAATTTACTCCTTTCTGAAAGAAAATTCCGAAGAATGTCAATTTTCTATTAGCGAGTTGATGAACCAAATAAATGGAGATTTCGTTCCTCACATCAGAACGGTTAAAAATTTCATTCTCATAATCGAGAAACAAAAACGTGATTGCGTGGTGTGCTTTCGAAATACCGGTTTCAAAATACTCTCGGATAAATGGTACGAAGAAAAAAAAAAGGATTATCACGAAGAAAGATTAAGAGTTATTCGCGAAGCTGCTGCGATAATCCGTGAGGACATTAGAGGTGTCGTTTACGATAAAAACAATTATCCCCTATCGGATGAATTCGTGAAAGATGTCGAAGCCGCTGTTCCTGAATCTTTGCAAGTTTTTCTTACTACAATGATAACAAAAGATAAACGTGGTGCATTGGAACAATGGAAAAAAAAATGTACAGCGATAGCTCACTCCATAATAACAGCCGTACGTCCGCGTTCGTTTTTCTCTCCGCTGCAGTTAGGTGTTGGGACTTTCCTTTACAAGAAATTTGGTTCAAAAAGTCTCATCAACATATTATCAGCTATGGGATTCTGTGCACCGTATCGAGAAATAACAATTTTCGAGAATTCATGCATTCATCGAGCTGAAAGTGAAATTTTGGAAAATTCCTTCAGTCAATTTGTATTTGACAATGCGGATTTTAACATAAACACCCTTGACGGTCATGGAACGTTTCATGCAATGGGAGGAATACACTGCGTGACTCCCTACACATCTATCCAGCGTGAGAAAAAAATCCCGCGTATTGTCGAAATAAAATCAGCTTCAGTAGTTGCACAATTGGGCATGGTACCTGTACTCTCTTACAACAAACATAAATCGGCAGGCTTACAGGCTATAACTGTTGCCGATGTCGAAGCTCTTCGTCAACTTCCAAGCGAAATTTTACCAACAATACCAGATTTGATCTGGCTTTACGGAAAATGGAGTTGCTCTGTTGGAATTCCAGGATGGAATGGATTTATGGAGAGTGTAACCGCCAATGTGCCATACGAACGCTCAAAAGTTATCTGTCTTCCGTTTATCAATGCGCCGCCATCGGATTATGACACGATCCTGACATCGCTTCTCGAAGCTGTCGAGAATTCGAAGCGTTGCAGTCAAAAAACCACCTTCATCACATTTGATCAACCGCTGTACTGGAAAGCTCGCGACATCGTGGGAGCTGCTGACCCAACATCCGATTTAAAAAACGTCGTAGTGAGACTTGGTGGATTTCATCTCCTGGTGTCGTTTATGGGATCAATTGGCATGATCATGTCCGGTAGTGGGGTTGAAGAGCTTTTCAAGCTCATTTATGCAGAAAATTGTGTTGAAAAAATTCTTGCCGGCCACGCATATGCGAGAGCTGTTCGCGCGGCAAAGCTATGGGTACAGTACCATCGCATGGTTTCTCTGGTGAAGAACTTCCTGGAAGCAGAAAGATCCGGTAATTGGGAACTTCATCTCGATACCATACAAAAAATGCTTCCTTTCTTTCATGCCAGCGTCCACTTCCTGTATGCGAAGTCTGCTCATTTATACCTACAAGATATGCGAGCTCTGAGTGAAAAAATACCCATAGAAGATTACGTCAAGTTCACTAGACGTGGCTGCTTCACGATTCGTCGCTCGGAAAAATTTTGGTCTGGGATAATGTCGGACATGACGATAGAGCAGACTCTTATGCGATCCATGAAGACAACAGGAGGACTGACTCAGGGACGGGGAATTACAGACAGCACAATAGCATCGTGGACTTTGGGCATGGTTCAGCTTCAAAACATTTGTGAACAAATTGAAAATTTTTCCGGAGTATCCTGCTCTACGACCGAACAGCACGTTGACATGAGACCCTCGCGGATTTCTCGAGACAATTGTGACGTTGAGAAATTGGACATGTGGCTCGCAGGTCATAATCCTTTTCCAGAGAACAAAGAATTGATGTCTATCGGCACAGGAGTTATTGCAAACGAGAACATTAATTGTCATCGTGCATACGAAATTGGTCGCGAAATGATGAATAAAATCATAGGAGTGGATTTCGGGTCTTTGTCATTCAGAAGGAAGGATAAAGTGCTCTCTTTATCGACAGTAAATACCAGCATTACAATCGACGAGTCACCAGTTCCGATCGATCCATTGTTGCTCTTCCAAAGAATGTGCATAACGAAGAATTCCGAGACTGACCTGAAAATTTTTCTGGCATACGAGCTCGCTCCGTTCCCATTGTCATTGTTCACCGAAGAAGGAATGCGAAAAGGAACAAAGTCGCTATTATACAACGCCTTCGAACCTTTGACAGAAAATTTCCAAACTGGTGACTGACATCATCACATAATCGACGGTGGTTTCCTTCTCCACAAAGTTGTCTGGGGTCGAGTTGAGACGTTTGATCTCATTTGCAAAAAATATGTCGCATACGTACAACAACACTTCGGAGAAACTGTTACAATTGTTTTCGACGGTTATCCGACTGATATGAGACTCGCAGGAACCAAAACTTCGGAAAGGGCACGACGTTCAAGGAAGAACCAATCGCCAGAGTTCACGTTCGACGAAACTACTACTCCGAAAGTTAGCCAGGAGAAGTTTCTTGCAAGGGACCAAAATAAGAACAATTTGATACAAATGCTTCGTCGTTATTTTGCAAATACCGGGATAAAAGAAGAACAGGCTTTTGAGGATGCTGACACTCTCATCGTAACCACAGCAATTAAAGAAGCATCGCTCCATGACTCTGTGGAAATCGTTGGCGAAGATATCGATCTTTTGGTCCTAATTTGCGGACTTGCAATGGAGAAAAAAAATATTTTCTTCCACAAACCAGCCAAAGGCAAAACACCGGCAAAAGTGTACTCTCCAAATTGTTTCAAGCACGATAAGTCTGTTCTTGAGAATATTCTTTTCATCCATGCTTTCAGCGGTTGTGACACCACGTCATCTTTTTATAACATTGGAAAGTCGAAGTTCATCAGCACCCTCGAGAAGAATCCGAACCTCCGGTCATCGGTAGAATTATTCAAGCAAGAAAAGGTCGATCCGGAGATGCTAGCTTGCGCGGGAAATCTGTTCCTTATCGCTCTTTATGGTGGTCGTAAAGAGGACACGACGATGGATATTTTGCGATTACATCGCTTCGCAAAATCAATGACGACAAGCAAGACGAATAATCTTTCACTGCTCCCACCAACGGAAAGTGCAGTCCGCCAACACGTTTTCTGGACATATTTACAAGTACAAACGTGGCTCGGAATTTTTAAAGATCCTCAAGAATGGGGTTGGCGACAAACAAATAACGGGCTCGAACCAATTTGCACCACAGCCGCACCCGCTCCACCTGAACTTTTGAAACTCATTTCGTGCAAATGCAAAGGAAAGTGTGGAGCTGCTTGTGGCTGCAGGAAAGCAGGAATCCATTGCTCCGTTATTTGCCTACACTGCAGTGGACAGACATGTGACAATGTCGCCAGAGTCGAAATTTTATTCAACGACGATCACGACGATGACGATGATTACGATTTTTCGACCGTCACAACATCATTTCCTGCGATTGAAGAGGTTTCATGACTCGAAGAGTCTACGGAGGAGGAACTTGAACAGGACCATCCAAACGACGAAAAACGTGTGAAAAAAATTACCACTTGTAATCATTATGTTTGCTGCATAAAAATTATTTCATCAATAAAGGACAATGGTAAAATTGGCCTAAGAACCAACACCAATTTGGAATTTATGATAATTCTTAGTATATTTTTGCGATAATTATCAGTATTTAGATTGTGACGGACACTCCAGTTAAGTAAGCTAAATTAAAAAGTTAATAAATAATCTGAGACAATAAATACCATTTTATGTGTATAATCTATGACAGCGCTGCAAACAAAACACTCTTTATTCCTAATGCCGGCACTTCACTTGGCTATTTGTATTTGCTATTTAAAAACCTGACATCAGTCTGTCCTTTTCATTCCTTATTAAGCATGACAAGGACAAACTGTTGTCAAGTGAAGGGCCGGCATAAACTCGTTACTCTGTGGTTGAGGTGCAGGCAATCTGTATTCGTAGTAATCTGTGGCATTCGTGCATTCTCGTCAAAGAGTACTTTTTATTTACGGAAAATTCTCGTTTCGAATTACCTGTTGTGTGTATTTATTTGCGATTGTTTTTCCTTTAATTTAACTATTACTATGTCGGCTCTCTAATATGCCATCGATGTTACCAAAGAGCAGAAACCTTATTACCAAGTGCTAGTGAACCTGTGCCACAACATTCTGAGAGGATCATACTGCCAAATTATTCAAGAACACCTGATACACATTCACGCTGCACAATACACATGTGTAATAAATAAATAATAAATCCAATATACAAAATGATACAATTATGTGAAAAATAGCCAATAAATAATAAGAAGCAAAACTACAGTTTTTATTTTATTCTAACCAAGTTTTTCCTAATAGTTATTCTTTAAAATCGCACCGAATAAAATGAATTAGTTGTAAAATTAATTCAATTCATACTGAGTTCATACTAAGTTCGTAGGTTGACCTATGTTTCATTGAATATTAAACATAACCTCAAAAAAATTTTAGTTTTCCTAATAATTTAAGTTCTCAGAAGTGTCCGTCAATAATTTTTGTTTTTACAGTCATTTACTTGCGATTTCGAATCTAGAAAATAATATTTCATGATTGTTGGTTCTTAGGCTAATTATGTATGGACGCAGAACAATGTCCTTTCATGTATTTGATTTCTAATTTGGCTGGTTTATGATTTTTTTTTTGTATTGCAATAATTCCCTGAACCATTTTTCATCCATTTTGACGCGTGGATACAACCGAGCGAGCGGCTAAATGACAACCGGGCACAGTTTCACTGACTTTGTGGCGCGCTAGAGGTCGTAATTTTTGTCGGAAATGAAAAATAAAAAAACGAATTTGTAGGTCTGGGCACGTTTTACAAGTTTTATTTTAAACATTTTTCGATATCTTTCACCAGAAAAAAGTAAATAGCGAAAAAAAATATTCTCCCCAAATTTTTGATATTTTTGATCGATATCTCGAAAACGACGATCGATACGTGAAAAATGCATGGGACCTTAATTGTAGATCGTGAGAAGAGCAACAAAAAAGTATTCTATAAAAATTTTCGTCTCAACGGGGAACCAAGTTATGATGAAAAAACTGAATTTAAGGGTTTTTTCAAGATGGCGGAAATTGCACAAGGTTATTTTGGTCGACAATTTGAACTTAAGCTTTTCTAGCCACCCCCCACGTGATATCCAAAATTTGGCTTTCTCGGTTCATTTTCACTTTTAAACGTATATAATGAGTCTATAGATTATCTATGCTATGACGTCAACTGTAGTAAACAAAAACTCGTAAGCACGTAGAAAATAACTTATCTGAGTTTATAATAAAAAAAAACATGCTTTCTAATAAATACCGCGAAAAATAAAGTGATTATCATTATTGTATTGTACGAGAATATAAAAACACATCCTTGAAGACTCCAGGAAAGTTGTGGATTAAAGTGCCGAAAGAAATTAACCTACGCAACTTTATTACACTTATTCATATGTTGTATCAGTTTTATGTTTATTACTACATTGGTATCGATTCTGGCGTGATTCTCTAAAACTAAATTTAACATCAGTCTCTCCTTTTCATTCTGTATAGAGAATGATAGGGATGCACTGTTGTCAAATTTAAGTTTAGCTTTAGAGAGTCATGCCAGAATCGACATCAGTGTAATACTAAATGCACTGTAACTTACATAGATGCCTTGTCGTTTCTCTGCTCCGCAGAGCAGACATCGGGGTTTAGTGCAAAAAATTCACCAAATTTTAATGCGTCAATTCTTGGCAGATTTGTGCTTTCTGCTTTTACAAAGCCGGCATCCATAATTAGTTTTGTCAAAAAAAAACAGTAAACGGAAACTTTTCTAAAGTTAAAAGTGTTTTAAGATAAAATTAGTCAGATGAAAGAATCCACCCACAGTAACACGCGAATGACATTTAGTTGTTTACTACAAGAGATGTCACAATCATGGCGGATGTGGCGAACAGCGTTTTTAGTGTTTAAAAAATATAGACTAAAAAATATTTTTTCAAGTTAAATTTCTACAGCAATCTTCTGCTTTTATGAAGTGAAATCGATATATTTAGGTTCCTTAGACCAAATACTTTAAGAAATAAACATTTATTTAATACAATTCGACATGAGTCAACTAGCCTATTCATGCTTCTATAACTGGCATTATAAAAGGCAATTATTAAATTTGTTATCTCAACTATTACTTATTACAAATAAATCAGATTCAGCGGATTTTAATTAGATTCGCAAAAATATTTTTGTTTAACGACATTATAGTGACATTAGAGCTCGTTCCCACTTGTCGGGTGTCGGATCCGTATATTAATCGGAGGTTCCAGTGGCAGAGCATTATTTATGAAGCTATTAACACTTATCGGAAACCGATTTGGTGTCGGCTCCGATAAGAAGTGTCGGGTGTTTTGCCAGCCCTCTACGCCCGGAAAAAAATCGTGTCATATCTCGCTCGCCTATGATTAAGAATGGCGCTGTTCATATTTGTCAGGTGTCGGGGCTGACTATCCTCCCCCGCTACCCCTTGTTCCGTCCGTAACGCCTTTTCAGTACAAATGCAGTCTCTTAAGTCCTGTATTTTGCTCACTAATATTTGAGTCAGTAGATCGTTGAATGTTGATATTGGCGTCCTAAAATAATGAAACACTTAATTTCATCACTTCTCAATTTTGTTATTAAGTTCTGAAATTTACCCAAAATGAAATCTTTCCCTAAGGAATATGTGCACCCAATATTTACATCCCATGGCTCTCTTTCTTTGTTGTCTTAAATAAAAATAGGAACATCAGGCGTCTCTACGCGCTCACTTAGGCACTCTTGCCTAAAATTGGTTAAAGCTTCAACCGTGACCGACAACCGATTATTAATCGTGTGTGTGAACAGAGGCACCGACATCCGATTAATATACGGATCCGACACCCGACAAGTGGGCACCAGCTCTTATAGTTTTAAAGGGCTTTGCATTGTCGTGTGCCTACATAGTTCTTTGCGAGGGCCAATTTGTGTAATATCCTGCTTAGCACTGAGAAAAGTAGAAATAAATTGATGTTCATAGAAGACCACAACGATAAGTTAATAAATACTTTGGCCTTTTTATATTATATATTATTTAATATCTACATATCCATACTTCAAAACGAAACTGAAAAGCTCATTAACAGGCGCTTGATCGATTATCTTGAATCCAAAAATCTAATCGCTAAGTCACATTTTGGTTTTAGAGATCACGAGTCGACCTGTTCATGATCTAACGGATTATAGTATAGTCTCTAAACTAGATAAGAAGAAAAATATTCTTGCAGTATTTCTGGACCTAACGAAGGCTTTTGACACAGTCTCTACACCACTATTATTGAATAAGCTTGAAAAAATGGGTATTCGAAATATGCAACTAAGATTGTTCCAAGATTACTTGACAAATTGCTACAAGGAGTGAAGATCTGAGATTATACCAGTACAGCTATACCCATAACTTATGGAGTACCCCAGGGAAGCGTAATAGGACCTACGCTCTTTCTCGCTTTTATCAATGACTTGTGTAATATGCAATTGACCAATGGCAAAGTTATAACCTTCGTCGACGACACTGCGTTAATTTTTCATGGTGATTCCTGGCTACAAGCGTATGAATTTGCACAACATGGTTTTGATAAGGTGTATTCCTGGCTTACTGACAACGCTCTAACACTTAATGTTGAAAAAACTAAATATATTCCTTTCGCTATCCAAAATACAGGTGCTTCTGTACATGAACACCACTATATAGTAGCCCACTCTTGTTTAACTGGCTAGGTGTGCTTATGTTTTGACAACCACATCAATGGCTGTCAGCCAGGACCCGTAAATTAATTTTTATTTTTAAAAACCTAAGACATATTGACGATAAAATAGTCATCAAAATGGTGTACTTAGCGTTATGCCAATCGACAATAATAAGCTATTGTATCACTGTATGGGGAGGTGCGTCAAAACTAAAATCTTAAAGGTCGAAAGAGCCCAGAGAGCTATTTTAAAGGTACACACATCAAAAAAAGTTTGCGATCACCTTGAAAATAGTTTTTTGTGTTACAGAAGACTTTTAAGTAATTTATTTTACTGATAAGATTCAAAATTTTTAAATTAGAACTAGAAAGTAAAACAATAAAATATTGTTTTTCCATATAAAAAGACATGAAATCCAAGCTGACACTCATTATTAAGGTAATTATTAACACAGCCTCTATCACCACCCTTATGAATAGGTATTACATCAGCAAGTTTGAATTTATCAGTGTTTATGTGTTATTTATCAGTTTGCTAGACGAGACGAGCTTTGTACCGAAAAACTTCGCATTCCCCCTCTTCCTTTTAAAAATCCACTTGGACTTTACAGTCTTCTTACTAAAGTGACCAGCACTTGTTGTCCAGAAAAGATTTGTATTCCTCATCCATGGCAGCTTTCCATTGTAGAGAGTCTGGTCC